GGCAGGAGCCAGGTGCTTCTCCTGGTCTCCCATGGGGTGCAGGGCCCAAGCACCTGGGCCATCCTCCACTGCACTCCCGGGCCACAGCAGAGAGCTGGCCTGGAAGAGGGGCAACCGGGACAGAATCCGGCGCCCCGACCGGGACGAGAACCTGGTGTGCCGGCGTCACAAGGCAGAGGATTAGCCTAGTGAGCCACGGCATCAGCCTGGCTGACTGATTTCTGACAAGGTTTCCAAGAACATACATCAGCCTTTTCAATAAATGGTGCTGGCAAACCTGATATACATTTGTGTAAGAATGAAATTAGATTCCTATCTCTCACCCCCATACAAAAATCAACTCAAGATAGATCAAAGTCGTAAAGGTAAGATCTGAAACTAGGGAAAGCTAGAAGAAAATACGGGGGACTTCAAATCGTGGGACCAGGCAATGACTTCTGGATAAAGTCCCCACGTGCACGTGATGAAAGCAAAATAAGACAAATGGAAGTATATGGAACTCAGGAGTTTCTGCACAGCAAAGGGAGCCACCCAGTGAAGAGACACCTGTCAGAAGGCGAGAAGTATTTACAAGCTTCTAATTCAACAAAGGATTAAGAGCCAGAATATATGCAGAATTAAAACTCAACAACACCGCCAAAATCCCAACCAGGCAACAAATGACCGAAGGACCTGACTAGCAGGCACACAGACAGGTGACAAGTGAGCCGCTTGGTTTACTCTCTTCTGTGAGTGAAAGACTTCTATTAGCGTGCCCTATTTAGACAGAGTGTCAAGGTCCAAGTGAAAGGATAGATATGCACAATAAGATTCATATTAAATTACTTGAAGGACTGGGCTGATGTCGTCCATTTCACGGAAGGAAGACCAGGCCAGACAGAACAGCACCATACCAGGAGAACAAGCTCCTGGAGACAGAGCATCCGCGGCTCTGCGTCACATGGTCGATGACAAAGGCTGACAACAGCCACGTGAAAACCAGGCTTCTTCCAGCCCTAAAGCAGTCACCAGAGAATTGCTGGCACAGGCCCTGCCGCCTAACGGCAGCCTGGCATGGAAGGCTCCCGGTGCTAGTGCACCAATGGGATAACTCAATGAGAACCTGGGCCCCAGCTTATCACACTGAAGCCAAGTATCCCCAGCTCACCCTGCAGGTACACCTGTGTCCTTGTACACCTGCTGGAGTTCACAGGAGTCTGCACACAGTCACTCTGCACCTACACAGGTTCTGCCGTCCTGCTCCTGCCAAGAGCTTCTGTACAGAAGGTGGGGGCACTAGGGGCACGGGAAAGCCCAGTGATTTCAACTGTATCTTAATGATCATTTTAGAAGGATCAATTTTGTCTCATACGGCCATTTGGTGTTTAAAAAACCTCTAGAATGAACAGGGCATACGGATGCAAATTTACTTGCAAAACATGAGGTGACGTCAACGTAAGTGATTTCCACACTTTGCCTTGTGGTGTCTGGGAAGCGTCCCTTGGGGCCTGCACCTCCCAGGGTTCCGTGTCTCCCAGGGGCTCGTGTGTGGAGGGTGCAGGGTGGCACGGGCAGGAAGAGGCTAGGGAAAGCTAATCTTGGTCACTGAGTGTGACTTTGCTGACCAGGTCACGGGAATTCTGTCAAGCAGCTTGGAGGAGCGCCGTGGGAGGGAGGGGTTCGCAGGTCAGGACTGGGCGGCTCAGGAGTCGCATGGAAGCCTGCCATGATGGGCTGGTCAGGCAGAGAGCAAGGACGCGGAGACGGAAGCTAAGGTGAACATGGCTTCAGTGACCCACTGCCTCCCGAGAACAACCTCCGGGGTGAGCCCGTGACCGGCAGCCCCGCCCCCAGCGCACTGCCTAGCTGCCGGCATTGTACAGTCTCCACGTAACCCAGTGACCACTAGCACCCACCGGGGAACTGTCAACACGGACTGTGGGCTTGAACGTTCCTGTGTGTCTGGGGAGCCGAGTGCACCTCGGTCCATGCAGGGACCCTTCCACGGGAGCCCCAGGCTGCCGGCTCTCCATCACGTGGAGGCGGCCCCAGCTTCTAGTCACGATGCTTCCCCTTACATGTGTCTCATCTGGTCTGGCATTCTGACACCTCAGCTCCTGTATTTCATTGAGCGGGGTAATACAGACAGGTTCTAAGTTGGTGAAAACATTGTTTGTAATTCAATTTCTTTTTAAATTTTTATCCTGTAACCTAAAGTAAATGATTGGATCTGTCAGAAGTTGTATCCTTGTTGATGAGGCCTGAATGCAGAAAGCTGTAGAGCCGACAGGTGCACCCGGGCAGATCATCCCTCACCTGGTGACTCAGCACCAGGACAGGACACTGCAGAGCCGACAGGTGCACCCGGGCAGGTCATCCCTCACCTGGTGACTCAGCACCAGGACAGCACACTGCAGAGCCGACAGGTGCACCCGGGCAGGTCATCTCTCACCTGGTGACTCAGCACCAGGACAGGACACTGCAGAGCTGACAGGTGCACCCGGGCAGGTCATCCCTCACCTGGTAACTCAGCACCAGGACAGGACACTGCAGAGCCGACAGGTGCACCCGGCAGGTCATCCCTCACCTGGTAACTCAGCACCAGGACAGGACACTGCAGAGCCGACAGGTGCACCCGGCAGGTCATCTCTCACCTGGTGACTCAGCACCAGGGCAGGACACTACAGAGCCACCTCCCCCTCCACTCTGCAGGCACACGGATCCCCTGCTTGCCTGGGAAAGCAGGGGAGGCTCAGGCAGTGCCTGGCCTCCACCCCGGATGCTCCTGCCAGGACGACACATGCAGGGAATGGTGGGAAGCCAGTCATGTCCTTCGGGTCATGTGCATAGCTGACTTACCGGTTTTATCTGTTTATAATTTGGAAATGAGTAGAATTTATCAATAACGTATCTTTGTTCAAATGGACAAGGCATTGATATTCCACTTGTAAAGCTAGTTCTCTCCCCACCATGTGCGAAAACCTGTTTCTTAGAGATGCACTTACAGAGACACAGAAGTCCAGTGGGGGCTCTGTGCACACAGCCTCTGACGTTCACACAGTAGGGACACACACAGTAGGGGCATACACACAGTAGGGACACACGGTCACACAGCAGGAGCATGGGGGTGGAGGCCAGGAACACATTCCTACATCACACACATTCATACCCTCACAGAATAGGGACACACACTCGCACAGTGGGGACACACACAGTAGGAACACACTCATATAGCAGGGACATGCACACATCCCCACACATAACAGGGGCATGTGCCTGCACAGTAGGGACATGCTCACACAGTAGGGACACGCTCACACAGCAGGGACACACACTCACACAGCAGGGACACACACACTCACGTAGTAGGGGGGCACACACACACAGCAGGGACACACACACGGCAGGGACACACACACAGCAGGGACACACTCACACAGTAGGGACACACACAGTAGGGGGACACACACAGCAAGGATACACTCACACAGTAGGGACACACACTCACACAGTAGGGACACACACTCACACAGCAGGGATACACTTACACAGTAGGGACACACTCACACAGTAGGGACACACACAGTAGGGGCACACACACAGTAGGAACACACTCACACAGTAGGGGCACACACTCACACAGTAGAGGCACACACACAGCAGGGATACACTCACACAGTAGGGGCACACTCACGTAGTAGGGGGGCACACACACAGCAGGGACACACACACGGCAGGAGCATAGGCTTGCACACCGGAACATGCTCACACACATTCACACACTCTCGCACAGTGTGGACACACACAGTAGGGATGCACGTATATAGCAGGAACACACACACATACCCTCACATAGTGGGCATACACTCACAGAGCAGAGACACATCCTCACACACTAGGGACACACAGTAGGGACACATACCCTCACATAATGGGCAGGCTCACACGTTAGGGACATGTGCTCACATGACAGTGACACAGACACCCTCTCGTAACAGGGGCACATGCTTTCACTGTAGGTACACACAGACAACCTCACTTAATAGGGGCACACACTCAAACAGTAGGGACACACACACCCTCACACAAGAACCCTTGCATGGTAGGGACATGTGCTTGCATGATAGAGACATGTGATCATACAGTAAGGACTTGTGCTCATATGGTAGGGACACACGCTCACATGGTAGGGACATGTACTCACACAGTAGGGACACATGCTTGCATGGTAGGGACATGTGATCACACCATAGTGACATGTGGTAGGGACATGTGCCTGCATGGTAGGGACACATGCTCACACGGTAGGGACATGTGATCACACCGTAGTGATGTGTGGTAGGGACATGTGCTTGCAAGGTAGGGACACACGCTCACAGTGGGGACATGTGCTCACATGGCAGGGATATGCACTCACACGGTAGGGACATGTGATCACATAGTAGTGACATGTGGTAGGGACATGTGCTTGCATGGTAGGGACACATGCTCACACAGTAGGGACACGTGCTCGCACGGTAGGGACATGTGATCACACTGTAGTGACGTGTGGTAGGGACATGTGCTCACATGGTAGGGACACATGCTCACACAGTGGGGACACGTGTTCGCATGGTAGGGACATGTGATCATACCGTAGTGACATGTGGTAGGGACATGTGCTTGCATGGTAGGGACACACGCTCACACAGTGGGGACATGTGATCACACCGTAGTGACGTGTGGTAGGGACATGTGCTTGCATGGTAAGGACACACGCTCATAGTAGGGACATGTGCTCACATGGCAGGGATATGCACTCACACGGTAGGGACATGTGATCACACAGTAGGGACACACACTCGCAGGGTAGGCACGCGCATTCCCTGACGGAGGCCGGAGCCTGGGTGGCATCAGAGAGGCACCGGCGCATCACACTGCGTCTCAAATACTGTGCGGACGCCGCCATGACACTTCCTCAGAGCCGTCCGCACCGGGAAGTCACCGTCCCTGCTGAGGAGAGCCGGGGCCGCCTCGCTTACGTGTGCAGGGCTCCCAGCGGCCGGGGTCCCGCGGGCCTCAGCAGCGGCTCCCGCGCCGTCGGCGACGTCTTGGGACTGGAGTCCGAGCCGCCGCTCTCCTCGTCGCCCATGGCTTTGATGTAGCTGCCGCTGCGCATCCTGCGGCACGGGATCTCCTCGTCCTTGCCGCCCGCCGGGTACCCGGCCCACTCGTCCTGAGGCACCTAGGGGAGAGCAGGCACAGCCGATCAGTCTGCCCAGCGCGCCGCAGGGAGGACGCTCGCCTGGCGCCCGCCATCATGCACTGGGGCGGGCACGTGGCCCCGTGACAGGATGGGGCGGGAACATGAGGGCATGGGGCAGGGGATGCGGCCACGTGACAGGACGGGGGTGAGGATCATGGGAGTGGGGGATGCGGCCACGTGACAGGACAGGCGGGGAGTGAGGATCATGGGAGTGGGGGATGCGGCCACGTGACAGGACAGGCGGGGAGTGAGGACCATGGGAGTGGGGGATGCGGCCACGTGACAGGACAGGCGGGGAGTGAGGACCATGGGAGTGGAGGACGCTGCACGTGACAGGACAGGCGGGGAGTGAGGACCATGGGAGTGGGGGATGCAGCCATGTGACAGGAGAAACAGAGGAAACGTGAGGGCTTTCGGGCAGGAGGTGCGGCCATGTGACAGGACAGAGGTGGCTGGAAAGCAAGGGCCGCTGGGGCAGAGCTTGTCCCCTCATCAGCGAGAACTGTGCCACGGTGCCGCTCCTGTGGCAGCCTGAGAACAAGGCCAGGCATGGGGGAGGAAATGCGGGTCAGGGTCTGGCCCCCACCTGCCCGCACATGACGTGGCGAGAACCATGCCCGGGGCCAGTGCACATCCCCCTCCCATGCGAGAAGGAGCCCTCGTGCCTCACGCATGTCAGAGATTAGAACCAAGCCGCCCACGCAGTGCCGTCCACCCGGCGTCCAGTGCACAGCCACCAGGAGGAGATGGCCGGCCCACGCTGTGTCCACCCTCGGCGCCCAGCGCCCAGCGCAGCTCTCCCTGCCACTCCACCGGCTTTGGGCCACCACAGCCACGCTCACGGACACAAAACTACAGCAGCGTGTGGGACCCCACAACCACCACGTGGGCCTGCGGTGCGGGGCGCGGCTGCGTGCCTCCTGCCGCACTGCTTGAGGAGATAGGAGAGCCCCGGGGAGGGCGTGTGGGTTCCGTGCCATCATCATGAAAGGGCCTCTTGCTCCCGTCCTGACCCCCATCCCTCAGGCTCCTGGGAGGGAAGCCCCTCGCCCGGGGCCTTCGTTCGCTCTGGAACCGCACACGGATGGGATGCGTGGCTTTGGCAGGTCTGCCTTGTGCACACAGGAGCCCGGGAGTGGGGCAGCGCAGCCCACTGCACTCCTTACACGGCCTGCGCTGGGGTCTCATCAGGCAGGAGCACGACCCTAACCCTGGCTCCTGGTTTTGGCTACCAGCAGCCATCTGGGAGTGAACCAATGATGGAAGACCTCTCTTGCTCTAATTCTGCCTTTCAAAGGAATAAAAATCATTCAAAAAAATCTCAGGGTCAGCGTTGTGGCACAGCGGGTAAAGGTGCACATCTCATATGGCCACCGGTTCTGCCCCGGCTGCTCCACTTCCGATCCAGCTCCCTGCCACAGCTTGGGAAAGCGGCAGAAGATGGCCCAAGTGCTCAGGCCCCTGCACCCATGTGGGAGACCCGGAAGAAGCTCCTGGTTCATGGCTTCCACTTGGCCCAGCCTGGTTGTTGTGGCCATTTGGAAGATCTCTGGATCTCTGTGTCTCTGCCTTTCACATTAATGAATACCTTATTTTTAAAAGTTATCTATTTTATTTGAAAGTTGGAGTTACACACAGAGAGAAGGAGAAGCGGGGGGGGGGGAGAGCGAGAGAAAATCTTCCATCTGCTGTTCACTCCCCAAAGGACTGCAACAGCTGGAGCTAAGCTGATTTGAATCTAAGAGCTACAAGCTTCTTCCAGGTCTCCCATGTGGGTGCAGGGCCCGAGCACTTGGGCATCTTCCACTGCTTTCCCAGGCCACAGCAGAGAGCTAGATTGGAAGTGGAGCAGCCAGGACTCAAACCGGCACCCATATGAGATACCGGTATTGCAGGCGGCTGCTTTAGCTGCTACACCACAGTGCCGGTCTCAATATCTTATTCTTAATGTAAGAAAAGTCTCCAATGACCCTACCTTTCTGTCCAGGAGACAGAGAGAGATTAATTTAGGTGGGATTAGGGCGAGAGAAGTGAAGAGAAGGGCCACAGGGACTGTGGGAGCAATGGGGGGTGAGGGTGACCGGCGAGGGGCAGGCGTCCCGGGGGCACGGCCTGGGGTTCTGCTTAACTCCTGCTGACCGGCAGGAGGGTACCTGCGGATGAACCGGAGCAGAGGTGCCGGCTCCTGGTGGAGGTGGAGGCAGCGAGGCGGCGGTCACGCACAGGGACAGCTGGAGCCAGGCCCACCTGCTGTCCGACCTGCTCTGGCAGCTTGAGGGAATTCGTTGTGACACGGAAACTGCATTTCCATAGAGAGCAAGGTGAAGACTTCTGCAGCAGACACATTAGCCACTGAGTCGGGCTTGTATGCTTCTGTCTGGTGTAACAAGCCGACACTGCTAACAGCAGAAACCTCTACAGAATCAGCCAGACCCAGAGTCCAATTCAGAAACCCGAGAACGAGGTCCGGCCCCCTGAGCGGGCGTTCTGGCTGTGAGAGGAGCGGCGGAGAGTGCCCGAGACACCCCCACCCCGTGCTCGTCCTGTCCAGGGCTGAAGCCCCCAGCAGGCTCCCGCGAGCAGACCAGGGTACGTCCTCTAGCCGTCACAGTCGTCGCCTGCGATGAGGACGGGGGGATGGGGCCCCTCTGGGGGCTGCAGGGTCCAGAGGCAGAGGGGGTTTGGACAGGGAGGGTGGGAGAGTCCAGCACAAAGGGGGCAGAGAGCAGTGTGGAAAGGGCCAAGCACACCCCTGGTGTACCACTGCATCCCCAGCCAGCTTCCCGACTGCACAGGGGACGCTGCTCCAATCGCCATGGAAACACCAGAGCCCAAGATTCCCCGAGAAGGCGACTCGGACGACCCTGCCAGTCCTGCCCTGTGCCCACCCAGCCTTGCTGGGTTCGTCTCACTTTTCTCGGCCGAAACTCCTTCCCCTCTCTCCTGCCCACACACGCTGTCTCCGTCTCAGCCTCTGCCCTATCTGAGTCCTCCGGCTGTCATTATGCAGGAGAGCAGACTCATGGGAGCATGACTGTGGGCAGGAGAGCACGGGGGGCTCACGGGGTCGGCAGATCTGTGGGGTGGGCACTCAGGGCGCCAAGGCCCCGGCTGAGACAAAGGCTGGGTCCCCGCCTGGGCCCCAGTCTGCCGGGAGCACGGGTGACATAGCCTTGTGTACCGCGGTTCACATCTCACATCTGCTCCGCAGGGGCTGGAGGGCCTGGGGGCGGCCCTTGACCCTGCTGCTGGGACAGCCAAGGAGAGCGCAGCGGGGACCTTTGCATTTACCTGAGCTCGGATGCCGCGTCTCACACGCTGCTGTCTCTCCCTGAGTTCTCTTGTTTTGGAGTGGACCTGGGAATCCAGGATTTTACGTCTGCTTTGGGAGCCGTTGGACACCTCAATAACCGCGTGTGTTGGCCACACCTACAGGCTGCTATGGCCCAACGCCTGGACACCTGGGGCCTTGCTCACTCTGGGCGGCAGCCCCCCCCCGGGGGGGGGGCTGACCAGCTCTGGGGAACAGTTGGCCACTCCCAGGCCATCCTGCCCTTCACAGGAAATCCCCAGAGCCCAATCCCCACCTCCTCCTCCGTGGGACCCCATGCCTGGGTCCGCACCCCATATGCTGCGCCCAGCAATGAGGGACAACATCTGGCCCCCAGCACTGTTGAAATCGCTCAGTTGTCCAACCCCAATGGTCACTGTGTCTGGCACGTTTCCCACGGAAGCAGTCAAGGCTCCGGCTCCTGTTTCTCTGTGCCTCTGGGTGTGGCCCATGTGGCGTGGCCCTGCCTGGTGTGCCCCGTCCTCCTGAGGTTGTGGCCCTGCTCCTGGCCTGCTGGCCTTGCCACACCTGAGTCACAGCAAACCCTGCATTTTAACTCAGCCCGGGACTCTGCGGTGCAGCCGGCCGAGCCGACCCCTTCTGCTCCTCTCACTTGGGCAGGATTCTGCTGCCGGCTTTGAAAGGAGCAGTGACTGCAACCCAGGTTCCTGCCAATCTGTAGATGCTCCCGTTCTGAACACCAGGGGTCTGCAGAAGCCGAGGCCCCCTTGCACCCCGCACACCTGTGCTGGGAGCAGGCCGTTTGGGTTCTCATCCCCAGGGACAGAAACCCGACTACAAGCTTTGTTTCTCACTCTCTGCCTCTGCAGCCAGTATTGTGGAGGATTTCTGAGGAGCTGTCAGTCACTAAGGCACACTCCCGCCTTCCTGGGAGACAGGACTCCTGGCGCTGGCCAGTGGCCACCTCAGCGCCTGCAGGTGCTCTGGCCTTGGAGCAGCAGAGTCTGGTGAGCCCGGGGGCCGGGTGGCACTCATGCCCTCCCTCTGGGATCTGACTGCCTGGCTACTGTCTGGTGGGGCGGAACAGCCCCGCACAGCACGAAGCCCGCATCTTGCAGGGAGACAGAAGTTAATTAGCAACTTGACTGATCGATAGAGACCAAAGTAGATGGACCTGGTGGAGTGGCCCCGGTTCCCAGCCCCAGAGACCAGCAGGTGTGCTGGACCTGCCCAGGCCCACAGGTGCGGCCCCACCCCTACAGGGCTTGTAGAGACGGCAGGTGCCTTTCTTCTGTCGTGAGCACCGTACCACCCCTGCCCAGACGCACTGGAGTGGCCGCACAGCAGGCGCCCTGCCCTCACTGCCGTGTCCGCGCCATGTCGCCTGCCCCGCAGAACACGTGGAATCTGATGGGCTCCCCAGGCAGAGCACCACAACCGCAGGTTGCGGCTGAGAGCTGGACAGAGGCTGCAGTCTGCTGCCCGTGGGGAAGCAGGCCGACCACGCACACCAACCAGCCCCGATGCACTGCCACGAGACAGGCTCTCCCCACCACGAGGCCAGGCTATGAGACGGGAGACAGCAGGAGGGCCACAGGAACACAGCAACTGGAAAAACACCCCGAGGAAAAGGACTGAGGGACGCTTCGCAAAATTCAAAGCGATGACTCTGGGGAAGTCTCAGAGAAAACACAAACAAGTCAATGAAGTTAGGGAAACCGTTACCGATCCGAGGAAGAAACCCAGCAAAGGGAGATCCCTCCAAAGAACCACACAGAAAACGCACAGCGGAGTAACTCGATACGTGAAATAAAAACATAGTCGAGAGTCCCCCAGATAGACTCGTTCTGAGAGGAGAAAGGATTGAAATGAAGACAGGCCTTTTGAGACAACTCAAACAAAAGGATTACAGAAGGCAGGCCTGGCGCTTCAGGGAGACCAGCAGCGGAACGACTGTTGGAATTACGGGTGCTGCAGGCGAGGAGACAGAGTGCTGGGGAGAGGGAAAACATCTGCCAAAACCGCCCAGCAAGGCCGCTCTCCAGACACCAGACTTGAGCCCATCACGAAAACACGCGTGCACACAGAACCCACGAGAACGGGCGCTGAAGAGGAAGGGCAGAGCTACACCCACAACCACGCGGAAGCAGCAGCACTCTGAAACCCACAGGGGCGCTCTTCAAGTCAGCATCCGTGCTGCCTGGACGCGGACTGCACACCGTGGCTGGAAACTCTGGGCGTGCACAGTGAGAAGGCAGGACCCGAGGACCGGCTCGGAGCAGCTCGCTGCAGAGTGAGACGCACACAGGGAAGGGGTGGCGGGGAGGAGGAGGGAGCTGGGAGCAGATCTGGATGGGGAGAGGCCACTGCCCCTCCCCCGGCCACCTCCTCCCCTGCCCAGGGGCAGAGCAGACCCTCAGACACAGCGGGGTCCAGGGCCAGGTGGATGCTGGGACTGGGGACAGCAGAGGACATGGCAGGTTACAAGAGGCCAAAAAGAGAAGGCACAGAGCAAGGGAGGGGCCCGAGGCTGGGGCCTTCAGGAAACTGGGAACCGGAGCCGTCCCAGGAAGTGCATGAGAGAGACCCCAGCTCTGCCCGCCACGCGCCTCTGCACAAGCAGACACGGGACTTTCCAGTCCACAGCTGCTGCCACGGGCGGGGGCACAGCTCTTTCCTACTTCTGCACAAACAGCATTCCATCTGGCCACCACCCAGTCCCAAGCGCCTCGCTGCCAGCCGTCAGCCAGGGCCACACACTGGGACCACCAGGCCGACGGCCGTACAGGGCTCCTGGGAAGAGAGGCGGCTGGCTGTCTGCTGCCTGCAGAGGGAGTCCCCAGCACTGAGCCCCCCACTCACGCGTCCAGGTGCTCTGGCAGGCACAGTGGTCTGCGCACGTTACGGAGAACCCTGGGCTTTCGGGGTCTGCTGGCAGCAGTGTCGGGCAGTGGAAGCAGGGGCAGAGCCGCTGTCGCAGAGGTGGGCGTCCCCAGGGGCTGACGTACACCGGCACCCTCAGGCGGCACGGGACGCACCAAGGCATCGAAACACAGAAGCCCCTCAGCGCACACGCTCCATTACCCACTTGCACTCCCCTTGGCCTTTGGCAAGTTCGTCTCATCCACCCCGGAGAAGCACACGCACCTGCAGAGGCAGACTCTGCGTCAGGTCTGGGAAATGGGCGCAGGATGGCCCTGGGCCCACTCCCGCGGGGACAGACACCAGTGTTCCAGTGAGCACGGATCTGGCGGGTGCTGCAGGCCCTGGGGTGGGGTGGAGGTGCCTGGGTAGACGAACAGCCTGCCTGTGTGGACAACTGGCCCCTAGAGCAGGACGGAGCCCCCATGACCCCGCCTGTGTAGACGAACAGCTCCCATGGCAGACCAGAACCCCCATGACACCTGCCTGTGTAGACGAACAGCCTGCCTGTGTAGACGAACGGCCTGCATGGATGACTGGCCCCCAGGGCAAGCCAGAGCCTCCATGACACCTGCCTGTGTAGACGAACGGTCCCCAGAGCAGGCCAGAACCCCTGTGATACCCTCCTGTATAGACAAATGGCTCCCAGAGCAGGCCAGAGCCCCTTCCACACCCACCTGTGTAGACGAACGGCCCCCAGAGCAGGCCAGAGCCCCTGTGACACCCACTGTGTAGACAAATGGCTCGCAGAGCAGGCCAGAGCCCCTTCCACACCCACCTGTGTAGACTAATGGCCCCCAGAACAGGACAGAGCCCCCATGACACCCGCTGTATAGACAAATGGCCCCAGAACAGGACAGAGCCCCCATGACACCCGCCTGTGTAGACAAATGGCCCCCAGAACAGGCCAGAGCCCCCGTGACACCTGCTGTGTAGACAACTGCCCCCAGAGCAGGCCAGAGCCCCCGTGATTATGTCCCCACAGCCCTTGCACAGCGGCCAGGAGATGGAGCTGACCTAGGCGTCTACAGGCGCACTGGGTAAGCAAGCATGGCGGGAGACCACAGTGGAACACTATTCCCCTGGGTCTACATGTGGGCCCTGGGAGGCCCCATGGTCAGGGAGGCAGGTGGGGCACAGGATGGGCATAGGCTGGGCACAGGACCACAACTGCCACACGTGTGCACTCCCGCACAGGAGCCACACAGAACCCACAGAAGTGGACACCAGTGGCGGTGGCCAGGGCCACAGCGGGAGGGGGCATGGAGGTCAAGGGCCGATCCCCAGGGAGACAGGGAGGAGCTCGGAGGGCCTGGTGATGATGACTGTGTATCAGCAACTGTTTCAGGTGGCACTGAAACTCACAGAGGGTGCCCAGACATGTTCTCACCCTGATGTGCATCCCACTGACACCTCACTCCATATTCCCAAGCAGACATGGCGACACGGATGTCAGCATCCCTAGGCACACGCAGCGATATGGATGTCGACACCCCCAGGCTCACATGGTGACATGGATGTCGACATCCCAGGCACATACAATGACACAGATGTCAACACCCCAGGCACATGCAGCAATATGGATGTCGACATCCCAGGCACACATGGTGACACAGATGTCAACATCCCAGGCACACGCGGTAGTGACGGATGTCACCATCCCCAGGCACATGCAACAACATGAGGTCAACATCCCAGGCACACGCGGTAGTGACAGATGTCACCATCCCCAGGCACATGCAACAACATGAGGTCAACATCCCAGGCACACGCGGTAGTGACAGATGTCACCATCCCCAGGCACATGCAACAACATGAGGTCAACATCCCCAGGCTCACATGGTGACATGGATGTCGACCTCCCCAGACACACAGCGACAGAGTTGTCGATACCCCAGGCACACAGGGCAACATGGACGTCGGCGTCCCCACGCACACATGTGTGTCCAGCACCACACTGGCTCCCACCCTGCATCTCCGTGATGCCTGACCGCTCGGCAGGGGCCTCTCACCTGGAGGTAGTGGCAGGGCCGCAGGGCTGGCTTGAGGCCCTGGGGGGCCAGGGCCTGGTCCAGGTTCAGGGAGCTCTTGCGGGAGGCCTCCTTGGCCTGGCTCACCGTGAGCGTGGACCAGGAGCTGCGCTTCATGTACTTGGCCTCAGGGGTGCCGGCAAAGCCCTCGCAGGCCGAGCACTTGACGTCACTGCTGCTCTTGGAGGTCTTGAGGGACAGGTCCCCGAAGGGGCCGGGCAGTGCCTCGGGATAGCAGTGGGCCATGCGGTCCACGTGGTGCCGGGCGGCCGCGCTGGGCGTCCGGTACGTGCTGTCGCTGTCCAGGTTGTCGTCCGAGCTCCACCAGCTGCTCAGGCCGGCCCTGTGCTTGCCCTCAGCCTTGCGGTCCTTGCTCTTGGCCCTCTTGCTGTGTTTGGAGTGGTGGCCGTGGTGGTGGTCGTCCGCCCGGCCGTCCCCCTTGTTCCCGTTGATGCTGCTCTTGGAGGCGCCCTCCAGCGAGTGCGACTTGGTGAAGAGCTTCTGCACCGAGTGCACGAGGTGCCGGATCCTGCCGGGGCTCTCGCTGCGCTGCTCGGCCGCGGCCGACGTCCGCTGGTACTGCAGGGTGTGGAAGCCGTCTCGGTGCAGCGGCAGCTGCTTCTCGAACTGGTCCAGGAGGTTGGCGGGGATGCGGTTGGCCTTGGTGCTGGTGTGGGCCACGGCGCAGGCGTCCCTGGCGTCGTAGTGCGAGCTGTAGTGCATCCTGGGGAATGTGCTGCTGGACACGTGCTCGCCCAGCGCCACGGGCATCACCACGCACTCCGAGTGGATGGAGCTGCGCGGCGAGCAGCGGTGATGCTCCAGGGGGCAGCCGTCCGTGGGGCTGAGCAGGTAGGGCGGCCTGGCCTCCGGCCCATGGTGCAGGTGGCCGTGGCTGTGCTCCAAGTCCGCAGGCGGCGTCAGGCCGCAGGTGTGGCTGGAGCACAGCGGGGCGGCGCTTCGGCTGGCCGACAGCCCTTTCATGTTCCTGGGAGGGGAGTAGCTCTCCTCATCGAAGGGCGGCGTGGGCGACCATGAGTACGGCCGGTCTGTGGGCAGAACAGAAGCGCCGTTAGCACCTGGGCACCAGCAGCCGGGTCACCGTGGGCAGGAAAGGTGAGATGCCTGGCGCCCATGGGAGGGCGGGATCTTTCCAGCCGTCATGGCCCACGAGGGGACGGTCACGTGTTCACACCACAGCGACCACTCCAGAGAACCAGGAGGCTGGGCAGGTGCCCGGTGCAGTGGCCAAGAGGACAGTCCCGGTTCTCACACTGCACACCATAGGCTCCTGGCTCCCTGCGGACACGGGCTCCCTGCCGACACACACCCCGGAGGCAGCAGGAAGGGTCCCCACCACCCACACGGGAGGTCCTGATGGAGGTCCCGGCTCCCTCGGGGGCATCTAGGGAGTACACCAGCAGACAACAGCTCTGTCTGCCGAGTCTGCCTCTCATAAATGGAAGCCGACACAAGACATTCCCCCTCGGAGCTCAGGAACTTAGGGACAGCAGGTGCCCCTCCCCGCAATGCTGTGTGATGGCGGACGCTCACTGGGGCTGGGCTCGGCAGGTCTCTGGACAGCCAGGGCTCGTGCTGCTCAAAAGCCGTCTAGGGGGACACAGAGCTACACAGAAGTGCATGTGTTATCTGATCCAGCAGCTTCCTGGATGATCCTGGATCCCCACACCCTGCCCCGTGCTCTCCATGGTGGCTCCCAGCTGTGGCCCCTCAGGAACTGGGACTCACAGTAGCCAGCAGGGATCATCGGGCCCCGAGGAACCTGAGAGAGGAGCGAGGTGCTTCTCACACCCGGCAGGGGAGTAAGGCCTCTCCTGCACCCCCGCACAGCGGCCTCAGGGTGGGACCCGGCCCTGCGCCTCCTCTGAGGAGCCGACAGGGTCCCGGGGAGCAGCCCCGTGGGCGGCCACTCGGCGTGCTGCCTGCTCCAGCGGCAGGTTCTAACCGTGCATGTGGCTACGCCAGGAGGGGACAACCAGCGTGGATTGTATCTTTCTACAATTACAGCAAGTTCAAGGGGAATTCAACACGCAGCCGGCAACAGCAAAGCCGTGTTTTGTAGTCAGAATCGGCAGCATCAAGTTGTCATCCCATTATCGTTTGCTTTGTTTCTCATTAACACATAATTTCACAGATCTCCCTTCTTATTAAAAAGCTGCTGATTGTGAATCCACTCACGTATGTATCTCTGTCTAACGTTCACTGTAGAAGCCACGTTATGAATGTGGCTTCATAAAACACGGTAGGAAAGATAAAATCTAACAGTCAGTTAAAGTGGAAGATGACACACTCCCAGTTCCACTGCACGGGGCGGATTCTCTTGAGGTGTGTATTATGATGTGCACGGACTTGATGTGTGCGAACTCGAAGATGACCTCACACTAACGGCAAGCCAGGAGCCACCCCGCTGGCGCCGACAGCGGCAGGGAGGAGCGGACGAGGGCTCCTGCTGGAGCTGGGTGCTGTGTTGGGGTCATTTCTCTTCGTGAAATGAGGCAGCAAACACACAACGCGGGAAGCATCTCAGCTTGCTCATTTCCATCTACGGAAGCCGCCATTTTTGTCACTGTGGCATTGCTGCCTGACCTGCCACGGTGTACCACAGTGCTGCTACCTGACCTGCCACGTGGTGATGGTGGCACTGATAACTTACCCCTCATGTGTGGCCATGTGCAGCTGCCTAACCTGACACAACATGACCACAGCACTGAAAACTGACCCACCACGTCATGACCACGGCACTGCTACCTGAGCTGCCACGTGGTAACCATGGCACTGGTAACTGCCCCGCCATGTCGTGGCCACAGCACTGATAACTGACCTGCCATGTGGTGACGGTGGCACTGGTAACAGACCCACCATGTCATGGCCATATGCTGCTATCTGACCTGCCACATCGTGACCACAGCGCTGCTACCTGAGCTGCCACGTGGTGACCATGGCACTGGTAACTGCCCCACCATGTCGTGGCCACAGCACTGATAACTGACCTGCCATGTGGTGATGGTGGCACTGGTAACTGCCCCACCATGTCATGGCCATATGCTGCTATCTGACCTGCCACATCGTGACCACAGCACTGCTACCTGAGCTGCCACGTGGTGACCATGGCACTGATAACTGACCCACCATGTCGTGGCCACAGCACTGATAACTGACCTGCCATGTGGTGATGGTGGCACTGGTAACAGACCCACCATGTCATGGCCATATGCTGCTACCTGACCTGCCACATCGTGACCACAGCACTGCTACCTGAGCTGCCACGTGGTGACCGTGGCACTGATAACTGACCCACCATGTTGTGGCCACAGCACTGATAACTGAGCTGCCACGTGGTGATGGTGGCACTGATAACAGACCCACCATGTCATGGCCATATGCTGCTACCTGACCTGCCACATCGTGACCACAGTGCTGCTACCTGACCTGCCACATCGTGACCACAGCGCTGCTACCTGAGCTGCCACATGGTGACCATGGCACTGCTACTTGACGCCACATCATGCCGCTGTGACCCTCCCCAAACTCACATGGCAGTGTTTCTTCAGAAAGTATAGTTGGTCTTGTGGGGATGTGAGGCAGCCAGGCCAGTCACTGGGGCCATGGACTCCTTGTCTCTGCTCCTCTTCCCTCCACCCACACTGCTGTCCCCACCTGGGACCCCCAGGGTAACCCCTGCTCAGCCTGCCTTCTCCAAACCCCCGCCGGATCCATGGCTGGCCAGCCGCTCTGTCAGGATGCTGCCTCATAAAAGCAGGACACGGAACATGGAGACGTGGCTGGGAGTGCATCCTGTCTTTGCCACGTGAGGGTCTGGAAGGTGTGGCCTCTGCACGTCACAGGGAACCCGGGTGAAACCCCCTTTAGAAAACTGGGTCCTTAAGATTCGAACAAAGAAAGCACAAGGTTTGAATGCTGACCGCTGTACATTTGTCTTGGGAGACAGAACAAACTAGATAGGGAGGCTCCACACCCAGACTGGCAAGCTGACGTCTTTAAGACAGACGAGCACTCCCCAGTTGTTCCGGGGAGTCCGTGCCGTCCCTCTCGAGTCCTGGCTGCTTCTCTGTAGGCATTCGAAGGCTGACCCTGCAATTCATGTGGGCAGAAAGAGCTAGCAGTAGGTGAGGAATAATAATCATTAGAGCACGCATAAATGAAATGGAGAAAAGGAGAGAGAGGGGGAGAGAGAGAGAGAGAGAGAGAATCAATAAAGCCAAAACCTGTTCTTTGAGGTCATCAAAGGTGATAAATGTTTTACTAGATTGGGAAGAGAGAACTCCTGATCTAACTCACACAGAAGTGGGGGTTACCGCCAGCGAGGGACCACCACGAGCAATTATACATCAACCCTCAGTCACCGGGCACAGCAACGGCTCCCAGAAACACACGCTTTAGCCCAAGAAGAAACCGGAAGTCTCCACACACGGAGAAGCAGGGACAGTGAGTCTGTCACCAAAGCCCCAACGAAAAAAAGCCCCAGCCCAGACGGCTTCACGGGACTCAACCAAACACCTCAGGAAGAACGGACACCAGTCCTAGTCAGACTCCCCAGAAACAGAACGGGGAGCCACTTCCGGCCCATTCCACAGGACCCCATTAGGGCCAGCCTCAGCCTGGCACGGTGGCCAGATGAGGCTGTGGAAGACTGTAGGCCAGCGTCCCCTGTGACTGCGGATATAAACACCCCCCATGAACCACGACCAGAATCCTGTAGCGCATCAGGTGTGCATGCTGGCCACGCGAGCCACGGCACAAACCTGTCAGCGCTTGCCCCGCCCTCACAGGACACGTGGAGACCCCCAGCAGGGGCCCGGGGCAGCACTGTATACAAGGGCAGAGGCTGACGTGGCCCGTTCTGGGTGCCCCGCCCTCACAGGACATGTGGAGACCCCCACCAGGGGCCGGGGCAGTGCTGTATACAAGGGCAGAGGCTGACGTGGCCCGTTCTGGGTGCCCCGCCCTCACAGGACACGCGGAGACCCCCACCGGGGGCCCGGGCAGTGCTGTACACAAGGGCAGAAGCTGACATGGCCCGTTCTGGGTGCCCCGCCCTCACAGGACACGCGGAGACCCCCACTGGGGGCCCGGGCAGTGCTGTACACAAGGGCAGAGGCTGACGTGGCCCGTTCTGTGTGCCCCGCCCTCACAGGACACGTGGAGACCCCCACCAGGGGCCCGGGGCAGCACTGTATGTGATGGCAGAAGCTGACGTGGCCCGTTCTGGGTGCCCTGCCCTCACAGGACACATGGAGACCCCCACCAGGGGCCCAGGGCCGCGCTGTACATGACCGAGTGCCCAGTCCGCACAGGCCAGCGCCGGGCTCAGGCCGAGGTCCTATGTCTCTCTTGCTCCTTTGCTTTGTCCTTTCCCCGATTTTGCATTTGGATTTTATCATCTTTCTTGTTCTTGTTAGTCACAGCTTCATTCCTGATGAAATGAACTGAGGTGTCCATTAGCAGGCAAATTAACTGACTGAACACTTCAACAGGCATTCAAGTTCAGCCACCGCTGGAGGGGGTGGAGGGGGAGGTGGCACTGGGCCTGGGCCGCAGATGCACTGGGGAGTGTCCTACGATGGCCTGTTCCCCTTGTGTGGGCCTGCCGCTGTCACAGGTGGACTGTGTCCCACGCATAGGCCTGCCGCTGTCACAGGGGGACTGTGCCCCACGCATAGGCCTGCCGCTGTCACAGGGGGACTGTGTCCCACGCATAGGCCTGCCGCTGTTGCAGGTGGACTGTGTCCCACGTATAGGCCTGCCGCTGTCACAGGGGGACTGTGTCTCATGCATAGGCCTTCCGGTGTCACAGGGGGACTGTGTCCCACGCATGGTCTGCCGCTGTTGCAGGTGGACTGTGTCCCACGTGTGGGCCTGCAGCTGCTGCATCGCACACTTCCCAACTACCCAGGGAGGCCTCTGAGAGCACCATCAGCCTCATGGCTGCTCAGGGCCGCCCTCCTGCTTGGCTCTGCCCAGAGATGCTGCCGTGTGTGGTTCCATGGAGGCCCTGGGGCTCTTCCTG